AAGGTAACCAGGCCCAACCCCTCTGAGATCAGACCAGACTGGGCAATTGGTAGCACTCAGGGCGAGATGGCCACAGGTGACTCTTTCAGCTGCTGAAGTCTATGCTGGTGTTTCTTCAGAGTCGCTGAGGAGCAGAGCAGTCACTTCTGGGTCCTGGCACTGTCAGCTGTCTCTAGCGCAGGTTCCGTGACGACTAGGAAAGAGGGCTGTGTGCAGTCACAGGAAGCGTCCCTGGGAAGCTTGAAGAGAGGCTGTGAAGCAGCAGATAGTGTCAGGGTTGCATGAAGAATAGGGAAAGGAGGGGTGTGAAGTCGAGGCGTGATGAGGCCTGGGGAAGGGGCTGTGTGAGGAAGACACCCACGACGGTGGCATTCCCGTGTTTGGGCCTTCTATAAACTCACCTCTGCTTTTCAGGGCCTGAAGTCTTCCCACCATTCTGTGGTGGGGGAGAAGTATATGGTCTTGGAAAACAATTAAATCCTGCCTGCCACATACGAGTCAGGAGATTTGAAGACAGTTCTTCACTCCTGTGTCTGGATCTCTCTGATCACAGTATGGGTATGGTAGGGTGTGGAGAGAGCCTGGCGCAGGGCATGTGGGCACTCAGCGGCTGTTAACGGGCACAGTGCCATTTCACCAGCTTCGCCAGATGGTGGCCACTTTCTGGAACAATCGAGAAGTGCAGAACCTGCCTGGTTCTTCTGGTTTTGTTTAGAGTACGACAGATAATTTACAGAAACTGTGTCTGACGTTGCCTCTCAAATAAGCCCAGAGAGGAAGGAGTCAGATCCTGGCGTTTCTAATTGGGTATTGTTAGTCTTCTGATTATAGAAATTAAGGAATAACACAGACAAGAAACACAGCAGTTATTGCTTTGAATGAATGTGAAACTCAAAATATTTATGTTTTCCATCAGTGATTTTTGCCTTGCTGGCCAGGGCCTGCCACAAACCTCTGGTCTCATTCACGTCCCCCTTTGCAGATGAGCTGGCCAGTTCTAAATAGTTAAGTCTCCTTTCAGAGCCAGGCCATTCCTGAAACCCAAAATAATCTCCATGAGTTCAAGCTGGGAGGCCTTGCCAGGATATAACAGCATTTCTGCCAGATGTGCTGGGTTTGCGCCTGGTGCAGCCCTTGATGCTTGTGTGAGCTTCACTGTCCTCCCCCATAAAATGGGGACAATGAGCAAGTGACCGCACTAGTCTCTGGCTCAGAACTCTGGCTTGAGGACCAAAGAATTAACATAAGTCCCTCAGGCAGCCCAAGGCACACAGGGAATACCAAGTGAATGTTTAGTTTCCTCTCCTTAGCTTTTCTTCCTTTAAATTGGCTGAGCCAGAAATTATAGGGGTGAAAGCCCTTCCCTGCCTTGGTGCTGTTGCTGTGGAGAGAAAACCACAATCCCCCCAGGGGCTGAGCACTGGAGCCTGGCTATCTGGTGGCCCTGGAGACAGGCAGCCTGGGACACAGCCCACAGGGGAAGGGACAGCTCGACTTCATGATGACCCACAGATGAGGTCAGGAGAGGGTCTCTATGTGCCTGGTGGCTCTGTGGCTGGACCACTCCCATGCTGTGCTCCCTGCCTGGGGTCTGGCTTTGGGGAACAAGGGCAGCAGAGCCCCACAGTCACCATGATGAGTGACGATGGTGACATGTGGCTTTAATCTGACTCTCGGAAGTCAACTCATACATCCCTTCTTACCCGTTCAGTCTTGTCTTGGCGGTTATTTAACTGAACTTGAGGAAGATGGCACAGGATCTCCATGTTCCGGACTCTCCGCCAGCCCATCAGGGCAGCGATGAGTCAGTGGTCAGTGGTAACGGGTGGAGGGGTCAGAAGGGGACAACGGTCAGGAACCAAGGTTGGGCAGAGCTTTAGAAGTGACTGACATCAGATTTAGAGCTGACTTTTACTAAACGCACAGGATACTGTGCCACTGGACTCACACACACAACACACACATGTTCTAGCACAGGACGCAAACACAGATACACACACACAGGACTTACACACTTAGATACACACACATTTGATGGAGGAAGGTCATTGGTTAATTAATAAAGAAACTGCTTGGCCTTATAGGTTAGAACATAGGTGGGTGGAGTAAACAGAACAGAATGCTGGGAGAAAGAGGAAGTGAGCTCAGACTCCATAGCTCTGCTCTCTGGAGCAGATGTGATGAAGCTCTGACCCAGGATGGACGTAGGCTAGAATCTTCCTGGTAAGCGCACCTCGGTGCTACACACATTAATAGAAATGGGCCAGGCAGTGTTTAAATGAATACAGTTTGTGTGTTGTTATTTGGGGGTATAAGCTAGCCAGGCGGCCAGTAGCCAGGCTGTGGGAAGAGGCCCGCAGCTCCCACTACACACACTCATATGACACATCTACATGCTTGTGCACACATACAACACAAAATAAAAATTAAGAAAATAAAATGAAAAGCCCAGCTCCTAAGGCACCTCCATCCTGCTCCAGGGACTGCGTCTCTGGTTTGGTCCCTATACCCATGCCCCTGGCCCCTGCCTTCTCTGCTCACTCTCCCCCACACTGTTGCCCAACACTCTCTCCTACTCCTCTCATCTTTGGACAGAACCTCTGCTGGGCCCTGCCAGGTAGCCTGCTCCCAGCCCATGCTTAAGGTTTTAGGATAAAAAACTTCCTCTTATGCCCTGCCTTGGGTATCTTGATCGTATAATGTGTCCAGACCTGAGGGGTTGGTTTTCAGACCCCAGAAAGATAAGGAGTTGTCTGGAACTTGGGGGCATGTGTTACCTTTTTCAAGATGCAACTTGGAGGAGGAAGGGCTGATTTGACCCACGGTTTGAGGAGGGAGGCAGTCCATCCTGGTAGAAAAACTGACAGTGGAAGCATGAGGCACCTGGTCACCGTGCACCCACAGTCTGGAAGTTAAGAGAGAACAGGAAGTGGGGGGCAGCTGTCAAACCGTAAGGTCCATTCTCAGTGACTCCCTTCCTCCATCAAGACTTCCTAAAGATCCCACAACTTTCTGAAGAGCTCCAGCTGCTGGAGACTAAGTGTTGAAACGCAGGCACCTATCAAACTGCAACAGGAGACAGCAGCAGTGACCCCAACAATCCAGGGAAGGGTGCAGCGGTGACCCCAACACTCACAGGAAGGGTGCAGCGGTGACCCCAACACTCACGGGAAGGGTGCAGCGGTGACCCCAACACTCACAGGAAGGGTGCAGTGGTGACCCCAACACTCACAGGAAGGGTGCAGCGGTCCTGTTGTGTAGTTTGATTCACTTAACCCTCACGTGGGCCCTTGGAGGGAGCTGCAATCCCATCCCATCTTCTGAGTCACAGGGACAGAGATGTGAGTCTTGCACAGTGTCCATAGTTTCGGAAGCTCAGACCTGAGCACGGGGTCCCCGGGCTGTGGGTTTCTGGACCTCCCTCTCCGTAGCTATTGGCTCATGGCTGTTCCTTGCAGGAACTGGTGACAGGTAGTGGCTGGGGATTTGAGAGGAGAGCCGCTGCTGAACCAGGCAGAGAACAATCCTCTCGGGACCAGCAGCACACAGGTCATTGAGGATCTGCAGGAGAGGGGCAGGGACATCAGCTCGGGTTCCGCCGGAGACTCTCCTTGCCTTTTCACAATCACTTTTCTCTTCCTGAAGTTTCATGTGTGGCCCAGCTGTGACATCTGGGCCTCCCTCTGTACCACTGCCAACTCCTCCCAGGTTTCCTGAAGCCAAGTAAGGCCACTGCAGGACCCAAACAGCCCACTTTCTCAGCACATCGTAGGAGGGGATTTATTATTCCTGGGGGTATCCAGCCCTTTGAGAACACAGATTATGAATTCAACTGGAAAATGCATCACTTGCTTTGATTTGATTTTAGAAGAAGAATCCAAACAAACTCTCGTGAATTCATCTCCTCTCTCAGTGCTATCTGAATATTTCCATCTGTGATCTGGCTCTGGCCTTCCTGCTCTCCACTTTAAAATATGAATTACTTAGCTCCAATTTCTCCGGTTGTTCTGATGGTTAAAGGCGTTCCCATACCATGGCAAGGTATGGCGGGAAGTGGGGCCCCACAACTCCTCTTGGTGTCATTATCGAAATTCTCAGATGTCTCTGCAGGGAAGAGCACACTGGACGTTCACCAGAATGTTGTGTGGCATACCCCCAGATTAGGGCCATGACTTCCTGCGTGGAGAAGGGGGTTTTCCCTCCAATTTTCTGCATTTTTTTTTATTTTTTAAAGATTTAAGAGGTAGAAAGATGGCTCAGTGGTTAAGAGCACTGACTGCTCTTCCAGAGGACCCGGATTCAATTCCCAGCACCCATATGACAACTAACAACTGTCTCTAACTCCAAGATCTGACACCCTCACACAGACATACATGCAGGCAAAATGCAAATGCAAATGAAATAAAAATAATTTAAAAATTAATTATTTATCTCATTGTATGTGTGTGTTTGTATGTGTGTGTATGCATTTATGTGTGTTTCTGTGTGAGTATGGGTACCCCAGGGAGGCTCAAAGAGGGGACCAGATCTCATGCTAGTGGAGTTAGAAGCACCTGTGAGCTGCCTAGCGTGGGTGCTGGGAACTGAACTCAGGTCCAGTATGTGCTCTCCATGGCTGAGCCCACTGCTCTGATTTTCTTAGACTTGGACTTCTGTGGAGCTTTATTTGTATGTGTGTCTGGAATGGTCATAAAGATCACAGAATGGAGAGGATCGGGGTCAGCACTAGCTGGTGAGGACTTAGTGGGCGGAGTCTGCGGGGAGGCATGGTAATCACTGCGGCAGCTAACCCAGAGAAGTCCAGGCCTGTCTGCAAGGATCAGTGAAGCTCTGAAGCTGGGGGACAGTTGGCCGGGCTGTCACGTTCCCCCTTGTGGGGCAAGCTAGGTGTCCTGCTGTTGCTTCCTGCCCTTGTGCACTGTTCACAGCCTTTAATGTTCTGTGGTTTGAAGTTGGTGTCTTTCCCCATTCTCATGCTCTCTTTGCTACCCTGTCCTCAGGCGTCTTGGCTCTGGAGAAGGCTTTGTGGCAAGAAACGGTCAGTGATGGCATTCTGCCTCCTGATGATCCTGTCTGCAGTGACTGTCATTCACCTCCCTCCGGAGCATCCAGCGTCCACCCCCAGACTTGGTCCCATAGAGCCCCAGGGGAAAATCGGCATGCCTGAGCCCAACATTTGGCAGACTTTGAACTCTAGCCAGAGGCAGCGGGCAAGAAACCTGGGCTTCCAAAAAGGCCGGGCTTTGCCCAGAGATTCCATCTTGGTCTGTGCCGAGAAGCAAAGCCACAGAGTGCGAGTGGATAGAAGCAGACACGCACTGAGGGTCAGGAGAGATGCCGCTGGGCCAGGAGGTCCAACACTCAGTGCCCAACATCATGTGCAGGAGAACGAGGTCAGAGATGCAGGAGGCACAGACCTGGACCAGCCTGAGCACGGTGGTCCTGTCCAAGAGAGGCAGAATAAGACAGACACCCTGGTTAGGCCACTCCCAGGGAGCAGCCTGGCAACTTTCCAGGCACGGAGAGAAACCACTGCAGTGAATTTGGCTGGGAGCTCCCTGCCAGAAGCCAAGGACAGAGTCTTGCCTGGCAGGAAGGCTGGGGGTATCACCTCAGGTCCAAGGACTCACTGGTGGCCTGGTACTGCTGAAGAGCTGCAGAGGTCCCCATGGTGCCGTACTGAGACCCCTGGGTCATTGGCCAGTGTGGCAGCTGGGGAGCAGGTTCCACCGTGGTTCACAGAACACGACGTCCAGACTCTCTGGTTACTGGCCCATGGGGAGGTGGCGGGCAAAGCCAGGGTTCCCGCCCACGGGCAGGTGCTGCAGGTCGGACTATCTGCTACAGGTACCTTCGAGGACATGTCTCCTCTCAGGCTCAGCCATCTCTGCTCCCAGGGCCTCTGCGGCCTCATCAAGAGGCCCAGGGACCTGCATGAAGTCCTAGCCTTCCATGTGGACCGTGTACTGGGGCTCCGACGGAGCCTGCCTGCTGTAGCCCGGAGCTTCCGCAGCCCTCTTCTGCCCTACCGCTACACGGATGGCAGTCTGAGGCCCGTCATCTGGTGGGCACCCGATGTGCAGCACCTAGGAGATCCAGATGAGGACCAGAACTCTCTAGCCTTGGGCTGGTTGCAGTACCAGGCCCTGCTGGCTAGCGGCTGCAGCTGGCCAGGCCAGAGCCTGTGCCCGGGCATCCACCATGCTGAGTGGGCATGTTTGGCCCTCTTTGACTTCCTGCTGCAGGTAGGTGTGGTTGGGCAGTGGGGTGGGGTCAGAGAGTTCCAGGTGAAGCTTTGCCTGGCCAGGCTGCCTGCTCCTCACCATGCTGGCCTTTGTTACCAAGCAACTGTTTTTGTCATTTTTCTGTCTGTTTATCCTGTGGTACCCTGGAACAGGGCTTCTTAAACATCTTCCTCTCAGGGACTGTCTAGATGGCTCAGCAGTTAGGTACACTGGCTGCTCTCGCAGAGGACCAAAGGTGGATCCCTGGGACCTACATGGTGTCTCACAGCCAATTGTAATTCCAGTCCCAGTGACCTGATGCTCTCTTAGGGCCTTGTCAGGTACCAGACATGCCCAGGGTCCCTAGACATAGATGTAGGCAAAACACCCTTACACATCTAAAAACAAACAAAAAGCAACAGAACAACAACAAAAAACCTGTTTTATTCCCAAGTTACAAAATGAGTACTCCTCCCCCAATGCCATTGTTAAAAGACCAGTTTGCCACTGTTTGCAAGTTTTTGTTGTATTTTATTGCAATGTGCGTGAATGTTTTGCCTGTGTGAACATGTTCACCAAATGTATGCCTGGTGACCACCAAAGCCAGAGGATGTAGAAGGAGCGGCAGGGCTGCGTCCCCGGCACCCGGCCGCCCGCATGGCTAGCTTATGCCCCGAAATAATTACACGGAAACTGTATTCTTTTAAACACTGCCTGGCCCATTAGTTTCAGCCTCTTAACCCATTTCTAATAATCTATGCAGCACCACGAGGTGCGCTTACCAGGAAAGATCTTAACCTGCGTCTGTCTGGAATGGGAGAATCATGGCGACTCCTGACTCAGCTTCTTTCTCCCAGCATTCTGTTCTGTTTACTCCACCCACCTAAGGGTTGGCCTATCAAGGGGCCTAGGCAGTTTCTTTATTAATAAGAAATCACTCCCACATCAAGAGGAGGGCATTGTATCCCTTGGAACTGTAGTCACAGGTGACTATGAGCTGCCATGTGGATGCTGGGAATCAAACCCAGGTCCTCTGTAAGAACGAGTGGTCTTAACCATTGAGCCGTCTCTCCAGTCTTAACACTGTTTATAATTTTATATCTTTGAGCCAACATGGAGTCAAGAGTGTTGAATGATTTAAAATAAGGGAGGGAGGGAGGGAGAGAGAGAGAGAGAGAAAGAGAGGGAGAGGGAGAGGGAGAGAGAGAGAGAGAGGCAGAGGTAGAAGGAATGAAAGGAGAGCCCTAGACAGAGGTGCCCGTCCATCTGGACACGGAGCATTTGCTGAGGCTAGCTGAGGGTCTTGCTTCTCTGCCGGACAAGAGAAAAGTCTGAAGTTGCTGGAGTAGGTGAGCTGGGATCCTAGGTAGAGTTGAACGGCAAGGTTTGGGTCCACCGGGGGTTCCTGAGCATGAGTGTGGCTGCCCCCGGCTTGTACGTGTGATACTGGCTGTGGACAAAGGCAGCTTGAAACAGCTGGTCATTCCCACCGCCAAGAAGCGGACAGCAATGAATCCTTTGTAGTGATTGGTTCACTTTCTCTATTGTATACATCCCAGAATCCCCTGCCCAGGGAAATTCTGCTCACAGTTAAAATGTGACTTCCCCATTATGATGGACGGTACCCCTGAATCATGATCCAGAATAAGCCCTTCGTCCCTCAGGTTGTTTTTGTTGGGGTTCTTTATCACAGCAGTGGGGAAGCAAACCAAGACATGCCCTGTGTGCCTGTTCCACACAGCTTGAGGGGCTGAAGCTCTTGGGGTTCAATCACAGATAAACTGCCTCTCACTGGACTCTTGTCCCAGTGCCTGTCTCAGGGCCCTGCCTATGTCAGATGGTGTACTGGCCCCGTGACATCTGCGTGCTGGGGTGTTTATGGATATATTTAACACAGGCACCTGGTGAGGACGTGCACTTGTTAAACAGTAGGTACCAGACCAAATGCATCTCTGGAACAGACTGAGACCATCCCCAAGGCATTCTTACAGGTGAGACGCTATGTTTATGCATGTTCTCAGCTTGAGCCGGCTGGGGAGGAGCTCAGTAAAGCACTTGCTGAGCAGATCTGAGTTTGAATTCCCGGCTTCAGTGTAAAAAGCCAAGTGTGGTGGTGAGTTCTTGGAATCCCAGAGCTGGGTAGGAGACATCTGGTCAGAGAGTGACTGCTGTGCATTGCATAGGCACACACACACACACACACACACACACACACACACACGAGTAATTATTAGTGGAAAAGAAAATGGGGCCATTGCGGTTCAGAGAGATTAACTTCCTTGTCTAAGGTCACAGCCAGGGGACTGAGAGGCAGCCTGGCTGGCCTGGCCCAGAGTTCACTCCCTTCTCACAGTCACTATTGAGCTGGCCAGTAATGGGGGCAGAAGGGGACATTTGCAGGGAGGCCCTGGAGCCCTGGAGCCCTGAGACCGGAAGCAGACCCTTGCAAAGCCGGGCTCCAGCAATGTGCTCAGGATGGCTTCCTGCTCTGCCCAGAGCCCGTCTGTTCATCTCCAGATCTGCAGCGTGGGACCCTTCCTCAGCTGCCAAATTCTGCTAGTGGGGACAGAAACCTCTGCAGCCAAGGCACACACAGGTCAGCGGTGTGGTCAGACACGGGGCTGGGATCATGCCACCTTTCCCTAGTTTGCTGGACAGCGGTCAAGGAAAACAACCATCTGGCCGACAGAACCTTCCTAGAAACCCCGGTGAGGCTGCAGAATGTGCATTTTTGCACGGGTACCCGAGGTGCTGAGTGACCCATGGCTGGCCACAAACCCCAGATGCAGCTTGCCATCTGTCTGCTATTGGTCTCCCTCAGACTCCTGTTAGCGAACTCAGAGGCCCAGAAGGAAGTGCTGGGTCTGACACCACGTTTCCCTATGCGAGGGGCTTTTCTCCCACGTGTTTCCTGTTTCCTGAGGAGTCTATTGGTATTCACTCCAGAGAGAGTGGGGGGCTGGTAAAAGAATGATTTCACGAAAGCCCCCACACCTGAATTTCTTGGGGTTGCTCACAAGAACATGGGTGAGGGGTTACCAGAGCATGAACACTTATGTCTCTGGGGAACCCCCACTCCCAACAGCCGTGAATTGCTTCTAGATCCTGGGGGCGTGGCTCATAAATCTTGTGAGCCATGGTTCCCTGACCGTCCCCTGGGGATGGTCAGAGACCCACCTTGTGAGGACTTCCTTGGGTAATCACGGCTACTCTTACTTCCAGCGGGCAATGACTGTCAGACCTGGAAGACAGTTCCACACTCCAGTGTGACCCCAGACTCTCGTCACTGTCTGATCTGGGTGATCTGTATGTGGAGAAGTCAGCTGAGCAAGGCTTGTGGCCCCCAAAACTAGGGCCCAGAAGGCCCCAGCTGCCAGGATCCAGGTCTAGGCTCTGTCTCTTCTTGGGGCCAACACAATGGCTCCTATTGTGTCTCTTGTGTCTGCTACAGCCTGTCCAACCCTGTCTCCTCACTGAGACCTGAGAGAAGCCTTTGTCTCCGTTCTCAGCAGCAGAGCCCGACACCAAGGGCCCAACAGGACTGACCCGTCCGCCCGTCCATAGGAGAGAAGGCAGCCAAGAGCATGTGGGACCCACCCCACAGTGACTCTTCTAAGAGTGGTGGGCAATAACTGACTCAGGACTGGTCTAGGGGAGCTCGTAGCCAGATCCCTGCCAGATTGCAGCTGGGGTGGGGGGGGGTGCTCTGACTGCAGTGATGGGAAAACCCTCCACAGCAAAGACATGCAGGAGCCACAGCCTAGCCAGAGAGCTCGGAGAGGGTGTCTGTCCTCTGTCACTGTTCTATCCATTACCACCCTGTCAGACAAAGCAAGGCCTTCAGTGCCTTGAATGGCCCTCCCAACTTCTCCCTCTCCAGATCTTTGTCTTGGCATTTGGTCTCAGTCACATCCTAATCCAGCTGGAGCAAGGTCTCAGGGCCACACACACACACACACACACACACACACGGAGGAGGGGGTAGTGTCATGTACCCCTCCTCCTCAGACACAGAAGGGAGACAACTGAGAGAGAGTGAGCTTGACCTCATCAGGGGAGCCCTTCAGGGCTCCTGAAGCATCAGTGAGCCTCAAAGAAGGAAGTGAATAGTGATCAATGATTGCCATGGGAACAGTCAGGCGTAGGAGGATGCTGGCACCACAAGACCAAGGTATAGCAACCTTGGCAAAAACTCTGAACTCCGGTGAGGTGACACATATATTGTTGATTTTAGTTGAGGTTGAGGGCTGAGCAGACACACCCCACTCAACAGGGGAGGAGCCCACAGAAACCATAAAACATATATATTCTGCCGAGCTCCTGGTGCTGAGACCAAGGACAGGCACAAGGTGTGTAACTGTGAGGGCCCTTCTCACTGCCCAGCTGCCCTGTATCCCCAACAGTGAGTTTCTTAATGTTTTCTTACCTCACTGGAACTCTGCCTCTAATGAAAAAGGAAAGTTTGTGTTTGTCCTGTTTTGTTCGGTGTGTTAATTACTTGTCTCACTGCTTTGACAGAAAGGTAAGAGCCACTCAAGGAAGGGAGGGTTTATTCCGGCTCTGGTAGGGAAGGCAGGAGCATGGGGTGGCTGGTCATGTGACCCAAGCAGAAGGTGGTGGTCACATGACCCGCAGTCAGGAAGCAGAGAGGGGGACACTGGTGGATAGATAGCTTTCTCCTTTTTCTTTAGTCTGGGACCACAGTTAACGTGGTGCCGACCATGCTCGGGATAGGTCTTCCCACCCCAGTTAATCTAGAAGATTCCTCACAGACATGCGCCCTGAGATTTGTCTCCATGGTGACTCTAAATGCGGTCATGCTGTTAATAAAAGTTAACCATCACAGCTGGGTGGGTGGTTTTTTGTTTTTTTTTTAAAGGACTTCTAAAGTTTTCCTTTGGACTGAGGGAATTCACCTTCTCTTTTCAGGCAGTGCATTGTCCCCGCGGTGGCATAGACTCTCTGTTGGGTGGAAATCTGACTTTGTTCTATGAAGCAACTGAGCTTTGCATTCTGACTGA